GCGAATACCTTTTGTGAAAGCAAAGCTATGAGAAACTCAATGGAAACGTAAGGTCTACTCATATGATTGTGGGAAAAATTTAACTACCAGTCTCCTTGTCAACTTAAAAAATAGTGTGAATACTTGTCATATATCCAATCTGCTGGATGTTTCGAAAACCTACTTAAAACGAAAAAAAGTATAATATAGCCCAAAGCTTCATATCTATTATTAAAAGTGATGCTGACCAGAGTGTCAGGATGGGCAAGGTCAGCCCAAGCGGCAGAGCAGCCGGGAGGAGGCCTCAGGATGACATAGCAACCGGGCTCGTGGTTAGAATGCATGGCCATTGGAGCCGCTTGAAGTGTCGTAGGCTGCTGGCCGGACACGGGGTTCAAAAGAGGTAACGTCGGTTTACGCCCACGACGTTTTCCAATAGCTTCGGACACGGTTGGCTGGCCAGAGTCACCAGTCGCTGAGGTCGTAGTATTAACGGTGGCCGGGATTCCAGAGGTATTTGATGCGGAACTTGAGACCGGAAGAATCGAAGGGAGCACAGAGGATGAGGGAGTGAGAGGAGATGAAAGCCCACTCGGAAGAAGGCTGGAGAGTACAGAACTAAGGTTGCTGCCGCTGCTAGTGACAGAAGAAGTGACCTCTCCTAGTGATCCTGTGCTATGGCGACAGGGACAGCTGCCAGATTGACAGAGCGGAACCACGGTAAATGGCTCGAATAGTCTCTCCAGTTGGCAGCGGATCTCAATGACCATATCCAATTCGGCCGACAACCTAGGCAAATTATCGTAAAAAAGAGCAATTGTGCACAGCAACGATGAAATAAGAGTAAATGCATAATGTATCGTGCAGGTATGATAAGCAGTTTCAGGTAAATAAAAATAAAGTATTTTAAGAAAATATAAATAAGGATAGATAATCCATAGAAAATAGTAAATCAGAAAGTCAGATAAAGAGAATGCCATAGCGACTGAGCAAAATGATTATTAAATCTCATGCTAAATGTAGCCACGCCATCTTATTCATCAAATCTACGATCTAAATATGGTGGAGTGTCAGACAATGTAATGATTACAACAGATCAAAGAAGGCAATCGTAAGTCAACCTGCCAATTGAACCTTCTTAACTGTCGTAAACGTTCTGACATCCCCACAGTTTTTAGAATTTGATGAAATAATATCACTTCGGCAAGGTCAATGCTATATTATATCAAGCTTCTTGGCAGAAATTAGAAAATATAAAATAGGGAGAGAAGAAAATTATTTAAAATATATTCACTCTACTTAATTTAAGGTGATAGATGAATTTGTCCACAATCGTACGAGTATAAATATACGAGTTTCCATTGCATTTCACAAAGCCTTGCTTTCCCAAAATATACTCTCATCCGGGCTGAAGTGGGCTATAGTTTCGACCTCGCTTGAACTGGCTTCATCAGCACCCCCAGCGGGACTCGATCCAGCGCATAATCTCAACACACGAATCACTACTACAAGCCGCAACGAGTTACAGAGCAGAAGAGAATTTCAAGGAAGCCTAGGCTTTTTTCCCATATTACATTTCTATGGTGAGATGGTCGATGAACCAAAGTTGTAA